AATTCTAGTACATTTGTTCAAATGGAAGAAGGTGTTCGTTTCCATAAGGGATCATTACTGGCGAAGAGCACTGAATCGTCAGATTATGAAGGGAACGAGAGATTGCACAGAAAAACTTCGGGAGGAACATTATTATCGATCGACATACCTTCAACAAGTCCGCGTAATGCCTCACCACGATTTCTGTCTCCCACCAGTAATGGAAAGCCTTTGGTTGATATTAACATGAAAACAGAATCACAGCATACACTAGAATTAAGAAATGCGAATTTCCAACCATTATTGAGCTTCGTTCCTGGGGAACAAATTTTGAAGTCACCTCGTTCGAATAAGATCGAGAACTCGGACAACTCGGAAGATACGGAGCTTACGGGAGACGAAAGTGACGATTAATTTCTACGCCACAAACTATTTACTATTTACCAAAAGATGAATTAATTTATTTATTCATTTATTTACGCTATTGATTAGCAATTATTTATTATAATATCGAAAACATTATATTGTAGTATTTTTTACAATTGTAAATGAAATATAGATTTATTGAATTAAGACATTAGCACTTACTAAAAGGATAGATGCAGTGATTATACTGAAAATTTCACAAAACATTTTATTTCATGCCTCGCCAGTAACATAGGTTTGTTACATGGCGTTGCATTTTCTATAATAGGTGAGTCTGTGGTTTCTTTGTTTTCTTTAATTTATCGCTTCTGGGTGGTAATAATTTTAATGTTACTAAATCTTTTTTCGAAATCCACTTCTATTTTTACCGCACCGTTTAGCTTCCTCAACTATCTTCGGCATCTATAATGGTTAATAATTAAAGAAAATAATGTATAATTATAATTAAATAATGATTCATATGTATAAATACGGAAATCAATAATTTAAAAAAAAATTCTATTTTCATCAATAGATTATTTCATTTTGTTATCTTATAGCATATTAATAATTTCTAATTTAATATAAATCTCAAACTTCGTTTTCAAAAGCAAGCCTATGCATTTGGTTACTTAATTATACAGTAAAAATAAATAAATAAATAAATAAATCGATATCTTCATGCAATCTTATCAGAAACAAAGGAACTATTGAATACAAGATTTATAATAATAAACTCTATCAAAATAAAAAAATTTCGAATTTAAAATAAATATACTGTATATTATTGACAGAAATTAATATATACTGTATATATTATTGTAAAAAAAAAAAAAAAAAAAATTCTAAAATTTTTTTTGTAATTTTTAAAACTTAATTCTTCAATTGGATTTTAATAATTATAAGTTATCGAAATAAAAAGAATTTTTTAATTAAAAAATTATAAAAAAATTATATTATAATTATATTGGTAATTGTTTAATAAACTCCTTTTTATAAAATAACAAATAACGAATATTGTTTTTTTATAATAGAAAGTTCGTTAAATTAATGATATTATATATAATCATAATATATTTTTTTAAATAATTTTTTATTTTTTTAAATATTATAAATAAAACAAATGAATTAATATTGTTTTGTTTTATTGATTATTTATTAAATTATAAGCTAAAATAAAAATTTCAATTATTTTTTTAATAAATATTGCCCGAGCAATTAACTAGATCTGTTGTGTCATAACACGCTTCTTTTGGCATTCCCACAATTTTAAAATTTCGTGTACAATGATAAAGAAATAGAATGGTCATAGTAAATACAATTTTGAGAAACCATCATCTATTGTAACTGCTAGCACTGGAATTTCCCGATTGAGCTTTTTTAATCACCTCACGTGGGGCGGCCAAACGATCAGAAAATGTGCGATATCAGCAATGTTACCTATGGGCTAAACATATGAAGCATAAGCTTCTCGTTTTAAACAGAGAAAGTTTGAGTGGAATCAATGGGCAATCAGGAGTCAGTATTCCATCGGTGAGGTTTCCGATATTAGCAATGTATATATTTGGGTTTTGTAGAATTCAAGATCGTCTGGAAAATGAGAAAGACATCGATATTGTCGTGGGCTCTCCGGCAAGCCCACACTACTTGTCGTCGCTTTCGGTTCATAATAAGGTAAGTTTCTAACTCTTGAGGCGTGTTTCCGATTTGGCCGGTCTTCTCTCTACCGATTCGCCTAGAACCCTTCTAATGCCAATTCCCTTAGGGAACCCTCGGTTCTCTCTTGTAGTCGCGTGGCCCAAGTTACAAGTCTTCTGTGGCATACAAAACACAAAAGTTTATACTTAAACGTTACTTTATTGTTTATTACTAAGAATGTTACCAACTCTAAACTAAACTTCAATCGTCTACATGCTACTGAATTGCGCATGTATTTATACATGTGCCTATTATTTACATGCTTACATCTGTTTACTATCTACGCTACTTTAGAAATTTCCACCACTAAACTTTCCCACACCTTAATTCCGACGATCTCATAACACATTAATTACGTGACGCGATGGCGTGTCATGTTACTGCGCCTACTTTTTTACCCACGACAATATTAAAATATAAATTATTAAAAAAAAAGAAGAGTGTATCTCTTTACCTGGATCAAGCTGTGGTGCACACCGCAATAATTGCAAACTCTCGAACCAACTCATGTTATATCTGATCAGTAATATTCATTCAATCCTTACTACATATAGATTCATTTTTTTTTTGCATTTCAGGTGAGAAAATCTTCGACATTCTTCTTCACGTAATCGTGCCTCTTTCGTGTCTGGAAGTATTCGAGAGATGGTAAATAAATAAATGAGATACTTTTCAGAGTCGCCTTTGTATCTGAGGGACCCTTGAGTTTCAGAAAATGATAAGAAGCAGGTTAGACATTGCAATATAATCAAAGCACAAGTAATAATCAAGGTATTCAGAACATTTATATCTGCCAGTAGGAAAAATAGATTTAGTGTGGAAATGACATTATCAAGCTCATTAAATTCAGTGGGTATTGATCTCACCCCACGTGTACCACAATAATTACGGGAAATACAGTATGAACATAATTCTTTAAACGTTTTTCAGGCTTTGGCATATATTATGTGAGGGATGATAATGCATTAAATCAATTCTTTTCGGTCACATACCTCTTTAAACACCTCGCCACGTAGTGCAAGTACGATATGGAATAGGGCTCTTTTCGGGTACAATAATCAAATAAGCAACGTCCGTCTTCTAATCGCTTGTCATAATAAATAAGGGAGATCCACTCTTTTTCCTGGACCTTCCGTTTAAGGTCTTCGATACTGTTGCTTAATTCTACTGTCAGAGTTGATAATTTTTTTGCATTTGCCTATCCGTTAAAAAGGCTATATGAGAATTGATGCAAAATGGACTCGTTAGTAATCTCACTTCACTTAAGGTCCCGAGATACATATTTTTGTCAAAAAATGTGAGATTAAGTCGATACAAGGGGATATCCTCTTATCTTTGATCATTCGACTGACTTGTTCGGTTGTGAAATTTCTTTCCACTTCTAGATTTATTATTTTTTACCCATTGAGTTGACATAAATCAATATAAGATAACAAGAGTTGATAGTCATACATTGATTCATTAAAAACAAGATATTGTTTATGATAAGGGGATTTACTTTATCCGAATCATTCTCTTAATAGTTTCGATTTTGTAATCTCTCTTTGCCCTCAGTTATATGATTTATTATTTTCACAAAAATCTTAATTCCTTTATATTTTAGGTACCTTATTGAATATTGTAATACTGTGTGATAATATGTTCCGATTATGTAACTCCTTGTTAAAAAATCGAGGCATTCTGGCCTAATAAGATACTCTCCGCTCCCAGGTTTATGTTTAATCCAGTACTTTTTTTCACGAAGATCGTTGATATGACTCTAGACAAACTAGAAACCCTTTTTGGATTTTGTAAGATGGCAGAGTACAAGAATCATTTGATTTATTACCATCAAAGGTATTCTCGATCATTAATTTGATTTCCCTAATGATTGATTCAAGTTTTATGGTTTTTCCAGTCACTATTATTAAATAAATGATCATTTCTTTAGATGTTAGATGCAATGTTGACTCCTTTTTGATATTGCAATATGACAAAGCGTAATAATATTTCAATTTAACATCATTAAAAGTAATAAGTTGTTTTCGGGGGAAAATGTTTTCTAAATCATGGATTATCCTCTAATATACAGTATATGCCTTCGGTCCTATTTTGCCATTGTAGAAAGTTTCATCGAATTTATACAATTACTGGATACTACCTCAACTAAATCTTATTTATAGAGTTACAAATGTCAAAGGTATTTTCAGTCCTCTCCACTAATATGAGAATTCTGTAATGTCGATAGTTTTTTAAAAAATTCACAAAAATCTAACCTTAATTCTTAATTTTCGAGAGTATCGAAAAGTTGAATGTCTTTATAACTCTACACAAGCTTGCAGCACATGATGCCAACATGTGAAGTCTCAACAATAACTCTCCAATAGTGTGCGTAGATACATATAATAGAACTCATGTGTCAATATTTAAGACGGATAGGATGAGATCAAGTGCATTTTGAAATGACAATTTTTTGCAAAAAAAAAACTTATATAGTGTTACGGATCGGGTAAGCGTTCTATTTAGTTTTCTCACTCTCGAGGCGTGTCGATTTGACTGATTCTTTATTAACATTCCTTCCTGACTAATAGCGTGAACTCTACTCATTGCAAGAACTTTCTCTCGTCTAGTTAACTCCGATTCTCTATTAGTCATTGAACAAGTCGCAAGCTCACACGCACAACAGACAACACAGTTAAGAGTTTCTATTTTAAAACCGAGAACAATAAATGCTAGTACAATCTCTCTTCTCTGTATGTTTTGATGATCGCTTGTGCCGCATGTTTACATGCGTAATTACGTGACGCGTAGGCGTCATATTACTGTGCCCTACCATTTTCACTTGTAACAATAGTGTGATTTAGTCAAAAAATAAGTTATGTTTAGCCTTTTAAAGTTGTTTTATAGTTTTCTAGACCTTTTTTAATTATAATTCATAACATTATTTTTAATTATTAATTAGTTTGGTTAAATAAATTATATTAAAACAATTAATAATATAGTACAATTATTTATTTATACTTTCTATATTATCTCTATTCTGTTTATTTTGCATTTTCGATTACTTCTATTCTTTTAAAATTTTTAATATACAGTAATTGCATTTTTTGACATATTTTATAATATAGGATTATGCTATAAATAATGTATATATATAATAAATAAATAAACTTATTTACAAATTTGATCAAATATTATAGTTTATTAAATTTATACTTATTTAATTAAAATTGTTAAATAGATTGCTAATTTGCTTATAATTTATTATTAAATATAAATTTTAAAAATTTCATTTTAATAATTAATTTATTTTTATTTATTTATTTATTTTTATTACAAACTAATATAAAATAAGAAGCTTTATTGATTAATTAAAAAATCTGTCATTACATTAAGCATTCATTTAAGTCAATACTAGCTTATCACATGTAAAACTTCTAAAACAATATTATATTACATAAGTAATATTACAATAAAAGTAGTTTATAAATGACTTATCATATTTTTCCAGTTATATAGTAAATATTTTTTTTAGAGTTTATATTAAATTTATTTTTATTAATATGCTTATAATTAGAAAAAATTGTTTTTTTTTAATAATTTGATCAATATTAATTCAATTTGAATAAAAAATATATTATTAATAAATAAGCTCTTATAAAAAGAAATCAAATAGTATAATTTTATTAAAACTCAATTATTAAATATTAAGATATATTGACTTTTATATTTTTTTAAATAAAATTTTAAAGATATTTATAATCAAAAAATGTTTATAGTTAGAAAAATATAATGTATTTGTTTATAAATAATTAAATTAAAACCTATAGGTCTATAGTGTAGTGATTAACACTTCACAAATCAAATTACAAGATACCAGTTCAACTCCATACAATTGAATAAAATTAATATAATATCTGATGCCATAACCTGTAAAAAGTACTGTTTCTCATAAGAAACTATTTCATATGCTGATCCAATAAGTATTGAGATTGTAATTTCTAGAAAAGATGTCATGGCATGACAATCATCTGGTTAGTGTTCTAATTATAGTAGAAGTTATAAGATATATAAGGTGTTCACTTTTGACAAGTAGATTTAGTGATCACTTCTCTAATATCCAGCATTTTTTATACAGATCCTTGCCCTAGCCTCATTTCAATCTAATAATAAACTGGTTTGACAATATTTATCCTGAGAAGACATCTAGCTATAAATCTTGTTTCCTGCAATATGTAAGTTAATATTTAGGCAGTAAGCATTAGTTATAAGTATCTTGAATATTTTTGGATATTATTGAACAAGTAAGAAATTAAATAGCTAGCCCAGTTACAGGTAATGGTAAAGAGATTTATCTTTTTTTTTTTTTTTTTTTTAAAAAGTTAAATGGCATTAGATGCAAATCTTTATTGATATTCAATATTTACATTACATCAAACATCACTTGAAATACATTGACTACAACTAAATACTAGCCTATTAACTTTCATCTGATACCCAGAAATCCATTACTTAATGACTTTTCTTTGTAATATTAGGGGGCTATAGGAGGTAAAAATCCTATCACTAGTTTTAAACTACCTAACCTATAGGGCTTATATGCTTATGAGGGGCTTATACTATTAGTTATTTTATATAGATTACCTTTTACATCACACCTTTCTCAATCCATCATATGAGCAAAGAGGAACTGGTAAAGAGATTTATCACTGATGGAGCAAGCAGGGACTATGTAGTTTTATTCATTATAAATATTACTCCTAATATCTCCTTTTAACTTTTCCTTAATTCTTCTCTAGTTAGAAATAAAGTTTTATGATTACTAATGAAAATATATGCTATTGATTAATAAAAGAATTCCTTTGTTCATTGAATTAGTCTCTATACTATACATGTTGTTGAAATTCATAGATCCTTAACACAATTGACATAATTATTTGATGCAATTAATTGAGTTATTATTAAAATATATAAATAATTGAGTCATGATATAATTATTTTTAAGAATTTTGGGAATTGAGTCAACAGCAAATAATTTATATCACATGTATACTCTATACCTAATATAGTTAGGAACAAGCTATAGCAAACATTATTATTTGAAACAATTCGATAAGTATTAGATATTACTAACAGCTAATATATTATAGCACAGTCTTAAATAATATTGTCTCTAATATATATAAACATCGTTATTAGTAATAAACACACAGCCAGACAATTATTACTGATACATTTTAAAAAAAATAATAAATAAAAAATTAATTAATTAAATTAATATATATAATTATTGAAATAAAATTTGAAAACTTGAATTCTGATTATACCTTTTAAATCTATAAAATTATAACAATAGTTTTTAAGAATATTATAATTTATAGTTATTTTTTATTTTTTATCTAATAACGATATTATAGTATTAGTGATCTTTAATTAATATATTATATAATAAACTTTTTATTAATTATGATATACAGTCAAACCTTTTATATCGATATGATTGGTATTTTTAGCAAAAAATATCAGTATATAAAATTTTATTATAAATATCAGTATATAAAATTAATTTAATTAAATGTGGTTTTTTTTTTTTAGAATATCAGTATAAAGAAAATATATCGGTATAAAAAAATGACTTTAATTAAGAATGGTTTTGAGAAAAATATCGGTATAGTGAGATTTTAATAGGTATCGGTATAAAAAATATCAGTATAAAGAGGTTTGACTGTAATTATAAACTTTATAAAACTTTATAAAATTTTTTTTATTTTCGTTTTTATTTTTTCTTTTACAAAAATGCCCAAAGAAATTAAAAAACAAAAAGTAAGTATTCTATAATTATTATTTATTATAATTTATTAAAATATTATTTATTTATTTATTTTATTTAAAGGAACGTAAAGTTTACTCAGAACCTTCGTTAGAACAAATTACAGCATTAAAAAAAAGAGCTGTTGTTGATAATACACACAAATCTACTCAAAATTGGCTAAAACAATTCGAATTATATCGTCAAGATACAAATCTTCCAGGAACTATTGAAGACATTGCTGATGTTAAACAATTAGAAGATGAGCTTATTAAATATTTTACAGTTATGAGAAAAAATAATGAAACTCCTTATTCAATCAGTTCAATTCGTTCATGCCTTTTTGCATTAAATAGATTTTTTAATAGTGATTTATCTAAAATTAAATCAATTAATTTAAATGATAAAAAAATATTTTCAGATTTATGGACTGTTTTAAATGGAAAATTTTATGAATTATCAAAACTGGGATATAATGAAATAAAGGATTCAAATGCTTTAACTTTAGAAGAAATTAAAATTATTTTAAATAATTCAACTACTTCTAAAGAATCTCCACGTGGTTTATTATATAGAATTTTTTTTTATAATGCTATTTTATTGGGTTTATGTGGTGGTAAATATTTTACATTAGAAGCTTCTAATTTTATTAAACAAAAAAATGAAGAAGGTTATATCATAAAGATTTATAAATCCAAGACAAATCAAAGAACAGCAGATTGTCCGGGACAAGCAGAAACTTTCAACATTCCCAATTTATCAGATGTTATAGAAACTTATGACAAATATTTTTCTAAAAGACC